CCTTGTTCTCCCCCACTTTGCCTATGGGGGTGTGTCACAACATTATAGCTTATGTTGTTGTGTAGGCTATAGTGGGGTATCCCATAGGGGGTACAACCAAATTAGGGTTTCCTACATGTACTCACTTCATTCATAATTCATTCATTCTCGTTCTACTTTCCACAGAGATGGTAGCTAAGGCTTAGGCGCAACATCCTACCGTGCGGATTTTTGTTTAGTTGAGTAATGAGTTCGTCGTAAGCCTTCGGAGTGACGAATCCTGAATAACATAGAATCGTACAGAAACGCTGATGATCACAAGGCTGAAGTGCCTTGGTGAAGATATCGGCAGTGTTGGCCTAAGAGGCCACGTAAACAAGACGAAGCTGACCACGCTGCTGCAACTCTCGAGCAAGGAAGTAGCACAAAGCGATGTGCTTCGTTCTATGCTCCTGACACAAGGCAATCATGGCCTTGTTGTCGACGTACAGAAGTAGAGGAGAACGAGGCGGCTCTCCCAAGTCGGTCAGCAGGTAGGTGAGACAGCGTAACTCCTGTGCAGCCATGGCCCCTGCGTAGATCTCAGCCTCACAACTGGAGCTGAGAACAGAAGACGAGCGAGTAGACTGCCACGAAACAGAACTGGAGCCAAGGCTGAAGGTGTAACCCTGTGATGACCGCTGCGTAGCCATGTCGTCAACCTAAGAAGCGTCTGTATGACCAGTGAGGACAACTCGAGCCCGTCCTCCAAGCACGAGCCCCATGCCTAACATACTGCACAAGTAGCGCATCACCCTCTTAGCGGCCTTCTAGTGCTCTGGTCGGTGTCTTCCGGCCGCAACGTAGCGTGCCAGGATGCTAAGAAGGTAAGCAGGGTAAGCAGGTCATCAGGTACATGAGGCAGCAAGCTCTGGATATGGGCCATTCGGCTCTACGGACTCATCCAAAGGCAGAGCTGAGAGCGAGTGACCGGTAGGCAGAGGAGTGGACTGTGGCGAGGAGTAATCGAATTGGAAGCGCTAAAGGACCTGCTGCACCATTTGTGACTGAGTCAAGGTGATGGTGCGCCGTGCTCTGTCCCGAGTGAACTGCAAGCCAAGATAGCTGCGCAGCTCACCCAAGTCTGTGCACGTGGGTCTCTTCTGCAGCTATGACTTCACGTTGGCCAGTCGAGCAGTGACAGCAGTGGCAAAGACCAAGTCGCGAGGGGCCTGGCGGAGACCGTAGACTGGCCGCCGGAGGCTTCACTGGGTAGCTGCAGAAAACGACCCAGTGAAGCCAGGTGGACGGCGCAGCCAGATCTCCTCGTGCAGGCTGCCATGTAGGAAAGCGGTGCTGAAGTCAAGAGAGTGAAGCTCGTAGTCACGCTGAGCGGCGACGTGCAGCAGCACCCGAAGAGTGGTCATCTTAGGGGTAGGTGAGAAGGTATGGAAGAAGTCAACTCCCTATCATGGACTGAAGCCTTGTGCAACGTAACGCGCCTTGAAGACAGGCGGAGAACCCGGCGGCCTCTCCACCCTGAAAATCCACATGCCACTAACGATGTTCGCCCCAGGTGGGGGAACCTCGTCGACGTAAGTGCCTGTGGACTTCCAGGATGCCATCTCTGCGTCCATGGCTGACTGCCACTGAGAGGAGTAGGGACCCTCTATCGCCTCTGCGTAAGAGCGCGGGGTCGGGATGTCTGATGCATCCGGGTCTCCCTCAAAGGCAATCAGCATGGACACGAGATGAGGTAAAGCAGCAGCAAAACACTAGAACTCCTCCTGCCTGTCCTCAAGGACGTCCGTGCCAAGAGCGCAGTCACCCTCGACGGACGGAGGACAGACAGACTCAGACTCAGCAACAAGACTCGCGGCGTAGTCTAGACGAGAGGCGGCAGGAAAGTCAACCAGCTCATCAACAAGAGCAGACGCAGCAGTAGACTCACACGAAGGGTCAGTGACAACAGTGGCCAGGAGACGCGTGACAGTAGGACTAGCAGCACGAAGGGAGTCAGACTCCGGGTCCGGACCGTCAGCATGGGAGGACGCAGGAGGAGACGGCAGAGGGAAACGCAGTGGAACAGAGGAAGGACGAAGTGCCATCTGGTGCATGCCGGGGACAGGAGGAGGACGCTTACGCGGAACACGACGACTAGTGCGAATAGCGCGAAGAGGCGACGCAGGACGAGACGCAGGCTCACGACGCTCTGTAAGACCTACGGGCTGCTCACTGTAAGGAGAGGGAGGAGGCAGAGGGGAGGCTGGCTGTAACTGCGGCTGGGACTGGTCAGGCAGTGGACATAATGAGGGAGGAGTAAGGCCAGCGGAAGGCGGGAGACCAAGAACCTACTGAAGAAGTGGAACGAAGTACGGTTGCGGCCGCACAGCGCCTCCAGAACCAGCACCGACAGTACCAGTGCCTCCAGCAGCTCCAGTCCAGCAGCACCTTCAGCAGCTCCAGCTCCAGCAGCACCTCCAGCTCCAGCTCCAGCAGCACCTCCAGCAGCTCCAGCTCCAGCAGCTCCAGTACCTCCTGTAGCACCTGAGGAGAGTCACTCTACAACGGTAGTGAGCTAGACTACGGGGGTTGGCACGAACTACTAGAGGTGATCGTAGCTTTGCCTAGTTCCTTGGTGTTTGCACAATCGCGGGAGAAATCGGCAAGAGTTTCCACTAGCAAAGTTGGAATTCCAGAAAAAAAATGGTAGAACAAGCAATGACATAATGTCTACATCAGTCACCTAGCAACCCTGCAGCTAGCCTGGTCGACTGCCAGCACAACTCGGTCAACCGCCTGCCTGCGTTGCGTAGAGGAGCCGCGCCAGCACTACAGGAGGGCGACCTGCCAACAGAGCAGGTCGACGGCGTGCCAACGCTGAAGCAGAGCAGCTGTCCGGCATTGCCCCGTAGAACACAGCAGTGCGCACGCTCGCAGGTGCGCGCAGACGATTGGCCCGACTTGCCTTGTTGGGCATCCGTCGGCTGTTGCCTGACTAGCGCGAAGTCGCCCGTGCCATCGCGTCCTCGACGATGTTCGCGTGCCTTCGCAGAACTCGTCGAGCAGGTTACCCGGTCGACCTGGTCGACCCCCAGGTGCTCTGGTCGACCCCACGCGCCTCCGGTCGACCACCGGGTCCCTCTGGTCGACCACCAGGTGCCTCTGGTCGACCACAACTCCCGTCAAGCTACCCCCTGGTCGACGGACCCCTTCCATCGACCAGAACAATCAGCGGTTGTCGCCGAGCTCCCCTCGTCGACCGCTGCTCACTTGTCAGGTCGATGGACTGCTCCGTCGACCTCCTGGTCGAACTGCAGGTCGATGGGATGCTCTGGAGACCTCCCGGTCGAGTTGCAGGTCGACGGGATGCTTCCGAGACCACCCGGTCAAGCTGTAGGTCGACAGGATGCTCCAGAGGCCTCTCGGTCGAGCGGTAGGTCGACGGGATGCTCCGGAGACCTCCCGGTCGAGCTGCAGGTCGACGGGATGCTCCGGAGACCTCTCGATCAAGCGGTCCCTCCTAGTCAACGTCCCACCCGTTGCCCAGACCAGTCAGTTGCAGTTGTCGAGCTCTGTGAGAGTACGACGGCTTATGCCAGCTATGCTTGCGTGCCTTTACTTTATGATGCTATTTCTAGCATAGGATAATTATATGCATGCATGAATTGCTTGATTTCCTAGGCTAGGTGCTTTCCTATATTTTATTATAGTTATGGCACCGAGCTAGGTTGCGTGCACCGAATTCTGGCTTTTCGGTTGCCACCGAATTGCCTTCTACCGAATTCGGGAAGGATCTGTTCGGGACGCTTCGCGACCCGCGGAACCTTCGCGTAACACCTGGTTACGGGGCCTTGTGTCGAGCCTATATATAGCCTCGTGTTGTACCCAAGTGATCATTCAATTACAATTCTCTTTTCTGAGCTTGATCCTAGATCCTCACACTTGGTATCAGAGCCTGTTTGCAAGCGAAGTTTTTCGACCGCTTAAACCTAGCTTTTAAAACCGCGGGGGCGACGACGGAAAGCGCCGATTTCGGGTACGTAAACCAGTTCCGCGCTATTTTCTAACGTCCCCCTCGAACCGGTTTTCGAACACTCCTCAGATCCAGTGGCGAAAAAGTTGGAATTTCGACCGTCGGATCGATTCGAATCTCAACGGCCTCGAGAATTTCGCCCAAAAAGGTTGGAATTTGGAGCGTCAGATCGAATTTCTTCTCAACGGCCGAGATCACACGCGAATTTTGACTAAGGGAGAATAACGCGTGTAAAACGTTATATATGTGTTATTGCTTTGTAGGCTATAGTGGGTTAGGCTTTAAGGGGTACACAACTCTAGGGTTTCATACTTGTACTCCAATGTTTCATAGTTCAATCACTTCTTGTTTCTGACATGGTATTAAGAGCTTAGGTTCTAGACCTAAGGGCCCACCGTTCCGCTAGAGGTGCCCTCGTGCGCCCCTTTTTTTAGCGCCCTCGTGCGCCTCTCCCCTAGTGCGCCTTCGTGCGCTCTCCTCTCACGCTGCCCGTGTGCAGCCCGCTAGCAGCCCGAGCGCGTCCCCGCCGTTTTAGCGCGCGTAGGAAAACCGCCACCTAGGGCGGCCCGATTTTTTTTCTCGCGAGCCCCAGCAGGCCGTCGCCCGTAGGCCCCGCTCGCCCCTAGGCCGACGCGCGACCCTCAGCCGCCCGCCCGCAGGTCGCAGCCAGCGCGCCCAGAGCGTCGCAGCCCTGCCCGTAGGCCGCCGCAACGCTCCTCTAGGCCGCCGCCCGCGCGCTAGTCAGGCCCACGCACAGCCGCGGCCCGCCCGCTACAGCCGCCCACGCGCACGCCCCTCGTCGTGCACCTCCGCGTAGCCCAGCCCGAGCCGAGCCGCGCCGCCCGAACCGAGCCGCGCCGCCCGAACCGAGCCGCGCCGCCCGACCTGAGCCGCATCGCCCTACTGTGCCCCACCTGCAGCAAATCCTGTTCCTGTTCCTGACGTACTACTGCTTCAGCTGCAACTGCTACTACTACTGCTACTAGTGCTACTGTTCCTACTGCTAATGCTGCCACTATGGCCACTCCCTCTATTCTCACCTTTGACGCTGAGGGCCGCCCGATTAAGTTTTAAGTTTGGTTAGATGACCTCCACCTGTTCCTCCAGATCACTGCCAAGGACGATGTCTCCCTGTATGACCACACGTCAGGCACTGCTCCCGCACCTCCCGCTACTGCTGACAGTACTGCTCGCTCCCAGTGGCAGACCCGTGATGCTCACGCCCGCCTAGCCGTTCGCAGCCACCTGCCGTTAGATGAGCTCGGGCACTTCGGCCAGCATAAGACCGCTAAGGAGCTGTACAACGCAGTAGTCGCGCGCTACTCCTCCCCTGCCACTGCTGCTATAGGCCGTCTCTCACTGCCCTACCTCTTCCCCGACCTGTCCGCCTTTGCCACTGTAGCTGACCTCATCACCCACCTCCGTATCAATGACCTCCGCTACCGTGCCGCGCTCCCCCCAGATTTCCTCGCCAAGAACCCCCCCCCCCCCCCCCCGATGTACCTCACACTGTACCACCTTGTCACCCGCCTCCCTGACTCCCTTCACACAGTCAGGGACCAGTTTCTCGCCCTCTCCCCCACTGACCTCACTGTCGACCTCCTCGAGAAGGAACTCCTTGCAGCTGAGAAGATCATTGTAGCTGTAGGTGCCTCTCGTGGTGACCCCCGCACCCCCTTCTTTGAGGGGTGGTCCCCCTCCCCCCTCCTCCCCTCCATTGCATCTGCTGCTACTGTCGACTACCTCGGAGCTGAGGGGGTCGGGGTCGCGTCTGCTCCTAGTGGGAGGCACAAGGGCGGCTGGGGCAAGGGGGGCAGGGGTGGTGGAGGTGGAGGCGGGGGCGGCGGCGGTGGAGGGGGTGGGGGAGGCGGGGGTGGTGGCGGAGGTGGGAGTGGCGCGGGTGGTGGGGGGATCAGTGGCGGCACAGGGGGCAGTGGCGGCGGAGGTGGTGGGGGTGGTGGGGGCGGTGGTGGCAGTGGTGGCGGCGGTGGAGCGGGTGGCGGGCGCGGTGGAGCGGTGCAACGTGGGGGGTTCGGCGGTGGCCAGAGGCAGCAGCAGCAGCGTCCCGGCGAGACTCCCTCACCCCAGCAGCTCCGTGAGTGGTACTCTCAGCATGGGGGGTCTGGGGGTGGAGGTACCTGCCCGTACGTCATCCGCACAGGTGACCGCACTGGCCAGACTTGTGGGAAATTTCACACGGCGCAACGCTGTTTCTTTCGCCTCGATGACGCCTGGCGCGAGCAGTTCCCTGACGCCTCTAAGCTGCCCCGCTGGGCTGATCTGCTTAAGAAGGGGATTGATATCTTTGCTCTTGATTATGATGCTATCCTTGCTGCTATGTATGCATTGACTAATAGTGTTGAGGGTGACTGTTACCTGAGTGTACCGCCCGACCCAGGCTGCAGCTCTAGGTGCTAGTGCGTCTGCTGCTCCAGGTCCTGGTGAGGCTGCTGCCCTAGGTGCTAGTGCGTCTGCGTCTACTGGTACCGCACCTACTGAGGCACTGCACACTTTCACACTAGACTCAGGTGCTTCCCGCTGTTTCTTTCGTGACCGCACTGCCCTAGAGCAGCTTCCTAGACAGGTTGATGTCTCCCTGGCTGACCCCTCAGGGGGTCCGGTCCTTGTGACCTCCACCACTGCCCTCCCTTGTCCTGCTGTCCAGTCTGGCACGCTGTCGGGCCTCTACCTCCCCTCGTTCTCAACGAACTTGGTGGCGGGTTCCGCGCTCCAAGACGCGGGTGTTCACCAGTTCACCCCGGCCTATGAGCGTGTGACGCACTGCACGTGTGCCCGAACGGGTCGTCACCTGGCTACCTTCACTCGGCAACCGGGATCGGACTTGTACACACTGATCACTGAGTCCCCTCAGGTAGCTGCGTCGGCGTCTGCGTCATGTCAGCTATCGGCCCCCTACTCGTGTCGCTCCCTGTCGCACAGGACTGTCCTCTAGCACCACCGCCTTGGTCACCCGTCAGTGCAGCTCCTTCGCAGCATGCACTCCAGGTACCTTGTCTCTGGTCTTCCCAGAGTTCTCCCTCCCCTGCCACCCTCACCTGCTCCTCCCTGTCTTCCCTATGTTGAGGGGCGGCAGCGCGCCGCTCCTCACTCCTCCTCGTTCCCTCCCACAGAGGCTCCCCTGCAGACTCTCCACCTGGACGTGTGGGGCCCCGCCCGCGTCCGGGGATAGGGCCACGAGCGGTACTTTATGCTGGTCGTCGACGACTACACGCGCTACACCACGGTCTTCCCCTTGCGTACCAAGGGTGAGGTCCCTGATGTCTTGAACCTCTGGATCCGCGCTGCTCGTCACCAGCTCCACCAGCGGTTCCAGTCGGACTTTCCTGTCCTACGTCTGCACTCTGACAGAGGTGGCGAGTTTTCCTCTGACCTCCTGGCAGCCTACTGTGCGGAGCACGGCATCCGCCAGACGTTCACTCTCCCGCCCTCTCCACAGCAGAATGGGGTTGCTGAGCGCCGCATTGGTCTTGTCATGGAGGTCGCTCGTACCTCCATGATCCATGCGGCTGCCCCCCATTTCCTATGGCCATTTGCAGTGCAGTACGCCTCGCATCAGCTCAACCTCTGGCCCCGTGTCTCCGTTCCGGAGACCTCGCCTACCCTGCGTTCGACGGGGTAGGTTGGCGACGCGTCGGTGTTCCGAGTCTGGGGATGTCGAGCCTTTGTCCGCGATACATCCGCGGACAAACTCTCCTCCCGTGCGGTTCCCTGTGTCTTCCTTGGCTTTGTCCCTGACGCGCCTGGCTGGCGGTTTTACCACCCCACCTCGCGCCGTGTCTTCGCCTCTCAGGACGTCACCTTTGACGAGTCGGTACCCTTTTACCGTCTCTTCCCCTACCGCACTGCCCCGCTCCCCCCCCCCGCCGCTCTTCCTCACCCCAGGTGTCCTGTCGGTAGACCCCCTCCCTCCCCAGGGTGCTGCTCCCTCAGATGTTTCCCAGGTAGACCCGGTCGAGCCTGTCGAGGTAGCTGTTGACTCTGGTCCTGCGCGAGGTACTGAGCATGCTGAGCCTGGTGGTGCTGGGTCTGGGGGAACTGAGACTGGGGGTGCTGAGTCAGGGGGTGCGGAGACTTTGGGTGCTGAGCCTGGAGGTGCTGTGGCTGGGGGTGCTGAGCCTGGGGGTGCTGAGACTGGGGATGCAAAGACTGGGGGTGCTGAGCCTGGTGGCGCTCCCTCTCTACAGCAGCTGCGTGAGTGGTACTCCCAGCGCTACAGCCTCCGTCGTGGGGCTACTGGAGCTGGGGGGTCTGCTGGAGTCGGGGCTGGTGGCCTCACAGGTGCAGTCCTGCAGCCAGAGCCTCCCTCCCCTCAGCGGCTACGTGAGTGGTACGCTCGGCGATGCAGCCTCAGGAGTGGAGCTCCTGGTGTTGAGGTACCGCCAGCTGGAGGCCCTGCTGCTGGAGGTACTGCTGGTGCTGGTGCTGCTGGAGGTGCTGCTGGTGCTGCTGGAGGTCCTGGAGGTGCTGCTGGTGCTGCTGGAGGTTCTGGAGTTGCTGGAGGTGCTGCCGGTGCTGGTGGAGGCTCTGGAGCTGCCGGAGGTGCTGCAGGTGCTGGTTCGGTTGGAGGTTCTGGTGCTGTCTCTGCTGCTTCTGGGGGCACTTCACGGCCGCGGCTGTACTTCGTCCGCTCCTTCAGCAGGTTCTTGGTCAGCCGCCTCCTCCTTGTCGTCCTCCCTCCTTAGAGTGTCCTCCGCCTATCCAGTCGCAGTCCCAGCTCCCTCCTGCCTCGCCACTTCCTGGTCCTTCTCCCTACACTGGTCCGACAGGCAGTCTTACAGAGCGTCGTGAGCCTGAGTCTCGTCCTGTGTCGCCTGTGTCTTGTCATGTGTCACCTGTTCATGCTGCTCGCACTGGTCGCCGTGGTCAGCGTGAGCATCCTCCACCTGTGCCTGGCACACACTTTATGACTCTGCGTCCTTCCACTACTCCACAGCGTGTCCCTCTGCCGTCTCCTCCTGAGTCCTCTCTTCCTGTCCTTGCTGACCCGTAGTCTGACTCTCTTCGTGCTGCCAGTCCTACTGTCACGCGTCTCCTGGCCACTGCTGACACTGACCCTTCCTTTGAGTCTGCTGCTGCGTCTGCCCTAGTTGCTGAGCTTGTTGACTTTGCTGCTCACTATCGTCTAGACTACGCTGCGAGTCTTGTTGCTGAGTCTGAGTCTGTCTGTCCTCCGTCCGTCGGGGGTGAGTGTGCTCTAGGCACGGACGTCCTTGAGGACAGGCAGGAGGACCTTGAGTATCTTGCAGCCGCTGCGCCTCATCTCGTTTCCATGCTGATTGCCCCTTTGGGAGACCCGGATGCTCCAGACATCTCGACCCCGCGCTCTTACGCTGAGGCGATCGCGGGTGAGTACTCCTCTCAGTGGCAGTCAGCCATGGACGCAGAGATGGCATCCTGGAAGTCCACTGGCACTTACATCGACGAGGTTCCTCCTCCTGGGGCGAACATCGTCAGTGGCAGGTGGATTTTCAGGGTGAAGCGGCCGCCGGGTTCTCCGCCTGTCTTCAAGGCTCGTTACGTTGCTCGTGGCTTCAGTCAGCGAGAGGGAGTAGACTTCTTTCAGACCTTCTCCCCCACCCCGAAGGTGACCACTCTTCGGGTGCTACTGCACGTTGCTGCTCAGCGTGACTACGAGCTTCACTCTCTTGATTTCAGCAGAGCTTTCTTGCAGGGTAGCCTGCACGAGGAGATCTGGCTGCGCCGCCCTCCTGGCTTCACTGGGTCGTTTCCTCCTGGTACCCAGTGGAGCCTCCGGCGGCTGGTCTATGGTCTGCGACAAGCGCCACGTGAGTGGCACGACACACTGAAGACTACTCTTGCGGCACTTGGGTTCGCGCCCTCTACTGCTGACCTGTCACTGTTTCTGCGCACCGACACTTCGCTGCCGCCGTTCTACATCCTCGTGTACGTCGACGACTTGGTCTTTGCCACTGTTGACACTGAGGCTCTTGCCCACGTGAAGTCTGAGCTGCAGAAGAGACACACGTGCACAGACCTGGGTGAACTGTGCAGCTACCTTGGCTTGCAGATCATCCGCGACAGAGCACGCCGCACCATCACACTGACTCAGTCACACATGGTGCAGCAGGTCCTTCAGCGCTTCGGCTTCACCTGGTCCTCAGCACAGGCCACTCCTCTTGCTATAGGTCACTTGCTCTCAGCTCTGCCTTCGGATGAGTCCGTAGAGCCGAGTGGTCCTTACCCAGAGCTAGTTGGTTGCCTCATGTACCTGATGACTTGCACTCGTCCTGACCTAGCATACCCTCTTGGCCTTCTGGCCCGCTACGTGGCTCCTGGCAGGCACCGAAAGGTGCACTGGGATGCTGCAAAGAGGGTATTGCGCTACTTGTGCAGTACATCGGGCATGGGGCTCGTGCTTGGAGGAGGGAGCTCAGTTGTTCTCACTGGGCACTCAGACGCTTCTTGGGTTGACGACCAGGCTACTCAGCGGTCGTCATAGGGTTATACCTTCAGCCTTGCCTCTGGTTCAGTTTCTTGGCGTTCTTCTCGCTCGTCTTCTGTTCTCAGCTCCAGTTGTGAGGCTGAGATCTACGCCACAGCCATGGCTGCACAGGAGCTACGGTGGCTGACCTACCTGCTGACCGAATTGGGAGAGCGGCCTAGTTCTCCTCCAGTGCTGTACGTCGACAACAAGGCTGCCATTGCCTTGTGTGAGGAGCACAGACTGGAGCACAGAACGAAGCACATCGCTCTCCGTTACTTCCTGGCTCGAGAGCTGCAGCAGCGCGGTCAGCTTCGTCTGCGTTACGTGGCCACTCAGGCGAACACTGCTGATATATTCACCAAGGCACTTCAGTCTGGTGATCATCAGCGCTTCTGCACTATGCTGGGGCTGGTGCCCACTTTTCCTCACTTGCTGTAGGCTTTGCCTGTACTGTGATCTCTATATATGTACACCTGCCTGTTTGCTTTGCTAGGTTGAGATCACCTTGCTATTTGTGTTGCATATATGCCTCTGCATGTGAACTGGCCCTGTGGCCCTTTGCTTGTGCTCAGAGTGTGTGGTGACATTGTGATCCACTCTGAGCTTGTTTGCCTTTCTTGACTGGTCTTGTGACCCCTTGCTCTCCCCCACTTTGCCTATGGGGGTGTGTCAAACATTATATATGTGTTATTGCTGTGTAGGCTAGAGTGGGTTAGCCTTTAAGGGGTATACAACTCTAGGGTTTCATACTTGTACTCCAATGTTTCATAGTTCAATCACTTCTTGTTTCTGACAGCGCTGTGCTGCAATATGCAGCAACACCCGAAGAGTACTCATCTTCGGGGTGGGAGTGAAGGTCTGGAAGAAGTCCACCCCCTCTCGCTGACTGAAGCCTCTCGCCACATAGCGCGCCTTGAACACAGGTGGTGATCCAGGCGGCCGCTTCACCTTGTAGAGCCATCGGCCACTGACGACGTTCGTCCCAGGTGGTGGGACTGCGTCGACATAAGTGCCTGTGGACCTATAAGATGCCATCTTTGCCTCCTCAGCTACTATCCAGTACGAAGCCTAGAGTCCCGAGACCGCCTCGGCATGAGTGCGAGGTATCGGGATGTCAAGGGCGTCTGGATCTCCCTCAGGGGCAAGTAGCATGGCGCAGAGATGAGGAACAACTGCCGCAAGGAAACCAAGCTCGAAGTGCCTCTCCTCGAGGACCTCCAAGGGAAAGAGAGGAGCACCCCCAGAGAACGGAGAATGAGCAGGGCCACTCACCACGTGAGCGGCATAGTCAAGGCGGTGAGAAGAGGCAAAGCCAGCGACAGTGGTAACAAGAGCTGAGACAGACGATAGGGGTGCAGTCGGGTGAGCCACAAACGCGGACAAAACACGGGAGACGACAGGACGGGAGGCACGGAGGTAGTCGGACAACGGGTCATGAAGCACAGTGAGGGATGACTCAGGCGGCTGTGGAAGGACAGGTGAAGGTGGAACACGAGAGCGAAGAACAAGGTGGAACGGACCGTTTGCACGGTAACGGGAACGACGACGCTCTGGGGACACAGCACGACTGAGGGGAGAACGACGAGTCCACTGGGACGAGGAAAGGGACTCAAAAGGGGGAACAGGAGGGGATGGTAGGGGTCGGGGAGGTCGCGTAGTCGCAGTCGCTGCTGCTCCGCCTCCTCTGGCGTCTGCTGCGACGGTACCGGCCCCTGCTACTGCACCTGTTGCTCCGCCTCTGCCCTCTCCTGCTTCGACTGCAGCTGCACCCGCTGCTGCAACTGGGACTCCTGCACTACCCTCTCCTGCTGCGGCCGTGACTCCTCCTCTACTCTCTCCTGCTGGGTCTGTAACTCTACTTGTTGCTGCGGGTGGGAATCCTGCGCTACCCTCTCCTGCTGCGGCCGTAACTGCTCCGCTACTCTCTCCTGCTGGGTCTGTAACTATACCTGTTGCTGCGGGTGGGACTCCTGCTCTACCCTCTCCTGGTGCGGCCGGGACTGCTCCTCTACTCTCTCCTGGTGTGTCTGTAACTGCACCTGCTGCTGCGGGCGGGACTCCTGCTCTACCCTCTCCTGGTGTGGCCATGACACCTCCTCGACCCTCTCTTGCTGCGGCTGTGACTCCTCCTCTACTCTCTCTTGCTGCTGCTGCTGCTGCTGCTACTTTCGCCCAAAAAGAGTTGGAATTTGGTGCGTCGGATCGAATTTCTTCTCAACGGCCGAGATCAGACGCGAATTTCGACTAAGGGAGAATAACGCGACCTACAGAATCAGCCCTCGTCATTTCTGCAGTCAACTCGACTCACAGTAAGATGACCAGCGCCTAAAATTCATATATTTTCGTCGCAAATCTTCTTATAAATCGCCAAATGGAGGAAAACGGTGATAATTCCGTACGGAAAATTACGGAGTTACACACCGGCCTGGACCAGACGCGAGCCGCACTCCAGCGAATAGAGGAGCTTCTCGCGAACCAGTCGGCAGCCGCCATAGCAGCAGCGAACGCAGCGGCGAATGCGGCAGCGACGTCAGCAGCAGCAGCGGCGACATCGAAACATAACCCAGCAGCAGCGGTAGCAGCTACAGTGAATCTTGAGGCACGTGCAGCAGCGCGCACGGGCAGGGCGGCGCTGGGCAGCGAGTGCAGGCCCGCGGCGGGCGCAAAACGCAGGCACGGCGGGCGCAAGGGGTGGACCCGCGGCGGGCGTAGCGGACAGGTGCGGGAGGGGCGAACGGGCAGGCCCGTGACGGGCCTAATGGTAGGCGCGGCGGCGCGAAGGCAGGGCCCATGGTGGGCCTAACGGGCGGGCGCGGCAGTGGGCGTAACGATCAGGCACGACGGCGCGAAGGGAGGGCCCGCGGCGGGCCTAACGGGCAGGCGGTAGAGCACGACGCGCTGGGCAGCAGAGCGCGATGCGCGGGCTGCAACAGGGCGCGACCCGCAGGGCACCAGGGCACGGGGCAGGGCAGGGCGTGCGCGAAGCAGCGCGACGTGGGGCAGGGCAGGGCGTGCGCGATGCACCGCGACGTGGGGCAGGGCAGGACGTGCGCGATGCAGCGCGACGCGAGGCAGGGCAGGGCGTGCGCGGGGCAGCGCGATGCGGGGCAGGGTAGGGCGTGCGCGAGGCATCGCGACGTGGGGCAGGCCAGGGCATGCGCGAGGCAGCGCGACGCGGGGCAGGCCAGGGCGTGCGCGGGGCAGCGCAACGCAGGGCTGGGCGTACACGGGCAGTGTGACGCAAGGCAGGTCAGGGCAAGGCGCGAGCTGACGGCGGAGCGCAGGGCAGGGCGTAGGGTAACGCGGTAACTGCAGTCTGTCACTAAGTAATGGTGGGCCCGAAAAAAAAAAACGGTCATAGGCTAGGACCTGCTCTGAAACCATGTCAGAATAACGAACAGGAATGAATGAACTAGTAGCAGGATGGGTACATGTAGGAAACCCTAATTGGGTTGTACCCCATATGGGCTACCCCACTACAGCCTACACAATAAGTAGCATATAAGTTTGACAACGCGCTGTGCGCAGGGTTACAAGTTTAATAGGTCGACATTTCACTTTCACATCACAGATCCAACCACCCTCGTGTGCCAAGCCCTAACTTTCTTGTTCTCTCGTAACTCGTTAGGCTTTCCCTACCACCTAGCATCACTTAGCAGCAACTACTATAATGTCTTAGCTACTATAATGGCTTAGACTTAAACGCGGTTTGTGGCCAAACATGGTTTTTTAGTGGCTTGCGCAATGCTATAAGAAGCACCTAATTGGCTGTTTACGGCTAGAAATGTAGTTATTTAATAGGTGCGCGCCATAAACGTGTGTCATTAGCCAATTCCCGCCACCCCGCGGCACCTCCCCGATTTCCAACAACTTTGGAAACGTTGAACGCAAGGTCCCACACCAGGCTAGCTCTTGTGCGTGCACGGCAGTGCTAAAAAAAGCGCAACCGAGAGGCGCTAGCAGCCTCCATACCAGGCTCCATAGCGCACACTGCGACGCGCACGCCATCGTCACGCTCGGCTGTGCTACTCCGGCGGTCGTCGAGTCAGGAGGGGCAGATGCTGCGGCGGTTACAGAGAGGAATGCGTCTGGGTGGGTAAAAATTCCCCTTCAACCATGGGTTGCGGGCCAAGCGCCCGCTGAACAAGACGTGGACGGTGCGTAAGTGCCTACAGCAGAGGAGGTGGCAGCTGTAGCAACAGATTCGGCGAGTGTCTCGGCTGGCGAGAATGAGGAGGTGGAGGAGTAGGGGGCCGGGGAAACCAGGGTAGGACACAGAGGAAGGAGTGCACGGGGACGAGGCCAGGAAGAGGATCGGGCTGGTTGGGTGCAGGGTCGTTCAAGCAAAGCAGCAGGTGCAGTTCATGATGAGAGGCGCGTCGGCCTCAAGAGGTGTCCGAGGTGGGGGGAGGGTTAGTAGATTTGCACAGGGGGGTGGTGACGGTAGAGCGGAGGCTTCAGCCTTAGTAGATGAAGGGGCCGCACGTGCTGGGGACGCTGTTGCGAGCTGGTGGCACCAGTCGTGGCGGAGGGACGTTGGTGCAGAGATAACTCAAACAACGAGAGCTAGTCCACGGGCTAGGCACAGGTGTGAGGGTGATCACTATGTTCGATCCGCAGTCATTTGCTTGTGCTCTCACTGCTTGCTCATTCACAGGGAGATTTGGCAAGAGCTTCACTTGCAAAAGTTCACAGCAATGGTACACAATGGCAAGGCAACAACGACTACATCAGACGCTAGCATGCAAGCTGGTCAACTGCCAGCGCAGCACGGTCGACCGCGTTCTAGCACAACAAGGTCGACCAC